CCTTTTCCTCCTCCTCCTCTCCTCTTCCTCCCCCTCCATCCCCCTCTTCCTCCTCCCCCTTCTTCCATTCACGCATCCCCCCCGTTTCCCTGCTACTGCTGTTGCTGCTGCTGCTGTTACTCATCCCCCCTCCTCCTCCTCCCCTCCTCCTCCTCCTCCTCCTCCTCCTCTCCTCCTCCTCCTCCTCCTCCTCCTCCTCCTCCTCCCCGCGTCCTCCTCCGCGTCCTCCTCCTCCTGCTCCTCTTCCTTCTCCCCTCCTCCCCCCTCCTCATCCTCCGCCTCCTCCGCCTCCTCCTCCTCCTCCTCTTCCTTCTCCTCCTCCTCCTCCTCCTCCCTTTCCTCTTCAGTATCCTCGTCGTTCCCCTGGTGATCCTCCTTCCTCCTCTCCTCGTCCATCCTCCGCCTCATCCTCTCCTCCTCCTCCCTCCTCCTCCACTTTCGTCAACGAAGAGCGCAACAGAGGGGGCACGAGGCCGTCCTGGCTCACCAAGCCGCCCATCTCCTGAGACACACGGCGCAGCTGGCCGATGAGCTCGTTCGCGGAAGGTGCCTCCCGAGTCCCCGCTTAGCAAGGCTTGGCCGCTGCCGGGGGAAGCGGCTACCAGCACGTAGCGTATAATGGCGGCGATGGGAAAACAGATCCTGGCGGAAGACCCAACCATATGTAATCGTGAGTACCGTAAGGCAGGTGGGACGAAGGAGAGGGATTTCCTTCTGGGGCCACGACATGGGTGAGGGTATGCCGACCTGGGCGGGTGGGCGTATGTGGACACCGCCATAAAGCCATTCGGTGGAGTTCCCTGGGGAGGGGCACGAAATACGATACTGGCTGACGCGGGCGCATGTGATCACAGCCACTGGGGCCTTCGGTGGAGCTCCTTATGGCGGCACCAGGCGCTGTACGGGGGCGCGGACGCATGTGATCACAACCACTGGGGCCGTCGGTGGAGCTCCCTATTGGGACACGAAGCGCTGTACTGGGTGGCGGGGACGCATGTGATCACAGCCACTGGGGCCTTCGAGGGAGCTCCCTATGGAGCCACGAAGCGTCAGGGGTGGCCGACATAGGTGGCAGGGACGCGTGTGGTCACAACCACTGGGGATTCGGTGAAGCTCCCTATGGGGCCACGAAGCGTGTGAGAGGTGTGCCGAAAAGGGGAGGCGGGGACGTATGGAGTCACAGCCACTGGGGCCTTCGAGGGAGCCCCCTATGGGGCCACGGATCGTGCGAGGGGTGTGCCGAGAGGGAAGGCGGGGACGCATGTGGTCACAGCCAGTGGGGCCTTCGGAGGAGCTGCTTATGGAACCACGAAGAGTGTGCGCATGTGGTCACAGCCACTGGGCCCTTCGGTGGAGCCCCCTATGGGGCCACGAAGCGCTGTACTGGGTGCGCTGAAACGGTGGACATGGGGAGGGCAGAGGCAAGGGTGGGAGGAGGAGGAGGAGGAGGAGGAGGAGGAGGAGAAAGAGGAAGAGGAAGAGGATAATGAGGAGAAGGAGACGGAGAAGGAGAAAGAGAAGGAGAATGAGGAGGAACGCGGGGCGCTGTCTCTTCAAAACGAGGGCCCACCACCACGGGATGGTTGAGCAAAACGAGGGAGCAACAACAATTATCTGGTGCCGCTGGGAAATACTTCGGATGGGGGCGATGACACAGTCTCGACAACGACGGCGACGAGGCCTAGAAACACAGTGCTCCCACCCTCGCCCAGGGGGCTGCTGCACGACGGGCCGTCCCTCCGTCATCGCCCACTCGCCATCCTGCGTCGCCTACACCTCTGGGCGAACTCGCGATCTCCCCATCCGGTTCTGCGGCCTCGGCCTCGGGAAGCCCTCTCCCGAGCCCGCATGGCGGAAAGCCTGCTCCAGGGATGCGGGCGGGGGGGTGGGCCGCACAGGGACATACTGATACCATATGTATGTCCTCCTTGGAGGCGCGCGTCCGACACGAACATATATGATATCCATCTTGTAGTATATCGTTTCCCGAGCGGCGTGGCCAGAAAGCGCCCGCCACGGCGCATATACGATAAGATTTCTGGGTGCGCGCGTCGCCCCTGGGGGCGACGCACATCTAGTATAAGTGTGTTGGGGTGACGCTGGGGTGGGGTGGGGTGGGGGGGCGAAGGCTACCGGGAACCCACGTCGCGAGACGACTCGACGACGACGGAGGCCTGGGCACGGGGGCACAGGAGGGAGCAAGCGGGGACGGAGCGGCTCGGAGGGAGGGGAGGCGTCAAGCTGGAAGCGGCGATGCATCGCCGATGGATCGGCGACATGCCCCCGATCGCGAAAGGGCACGGTCCTGAGATGGGTGGGCGGCGTGCCCAAGTGGCGATGCCCCCCATCATCATCCCCAGCGGCCAAAGTAATGAGACGATTCCGGAACCGCAGGGCGACAGGTTCGCACCCACAAAGGTTGATTCATAAAATGTTAGCCAGCGCGAACCCCCAACAGAGCGTTTATATCACTCTATGTCGTGCCATCGATGTGGAGCAATATGTGGTGCAATCCACATGGTGCAATAGAAATTGTGCTAACGATGTTGTGCAATCTATGGTGTGCAATGTATGTGGTGCGATCGGTGTGGTGCAAATTCTGTGGGGCAATCCCTGTGGAGCGACCTATGTGTTGCAACCTACGGTGTGCAATCTATGCGGTGCGGCCTACGCGGCAATATATGTAGGGCAATATATATATATATATATATATATATGTATATATGTGTGTGTGTGGTGCAAGGTCATTCTCAATCTACATATATGTATGAATGTGTACATATATAGGGATATGTGCACATGTGATCGCTCCCGTCAGCCTACCCCGTCCAGGAGGACCCAACAACGAGCCCAGACGGCTCCAAAAGGCTTCCAAAATGGTCAAAGAGAGCCCCAAGTCGCCCCAAGACCGCTCCAAGACGCCCAAGATGGCCTCAAGATGGAGGAAGAGGCCTCCAAGACGCCACAAGAGGCCTCCAAGAGGCCTCCCAAGAGTCTTTAAGAGGGCCCCACGAGGCAACATTCTCTGGTGCTCCTACGGTTCTTAAAAGATTTTGGCGTTCTCGCCGCTTCCGGACTCTCTGACGACTCAAGAGCCAGGCCCCGAGAAGGCCCAGGAGGCCCCCGAGAGATGTTCAAGAAGCCCCTACGGGGAGGGGACTGAGGGGAGGGGGGAGGAGGGATCGGGGAGAGGGGGGAAGGGGGGCGGCGACGACTTAGCGCGTGCGTCGGACATGTTCCGGGATCCGAACGGACAAGTTTTTCGAGATGCGCTCAGCCGTGGCGACGAGGAGCCGCCACCGACGGCCAGAAGAAAAAAGGGGGCCCACGCCAGCGCAGTGGGAGGGGTGGGGAGAGGGATGAGGGCCAACAGCGGTAGCAGGACATCGACAGATCCAGACATCCGACGTAACGATGTTCACATCAACCCCCAGAGGTCCAGACCGCTTGAAGGACGCTTTGCATCGCGAGCCGTTGCTTTACGGCCACGGAGCCCAGAGGGAACTCCCAGGGGCCGATCGCGGCGAAACACATCCCGCCCTCCGCCATTCTTCCCCTCCCTCCCTCCCCTGGGCCCCACTTTGAACGTAACTACCCATCCTGATCTTCCCCCTCCCACTTCCTCCCTGTCTATTAAGGTAACCCTCCCAAGATAGAAGAGAGCATCTAAATGTCGGCCCATGCCCCGCCAAAGTGCCGAGCATGTCACGGGCCCCGCGGGGGAGGCCCAAAAGCCTCGGGGTACACGCTGAGCATGGCCAACCGACCGTAAGCGCAAACACTGCTTGGGAGAAGCGAGAACTGCACGCATGCACCGTCGGAGGTCCGCGCGGACCTCCGACACTTTACGTATGCTTATGCCACCTGCTGCTCCTCGACTGCGGGTCGGCGCGCTCGCTCCCGATGGCAACCGTGCTCCCGTTGTGGGTTCCGACAGTCTGCCGAAGGGCGGGGGAGAGAGGAGAGGTCCCGACAAGCCGCCAGGAACAGCTGGCCAAAGCAGCCAAGACCTGGTCCACGGGGGGGTGGGGGGGGTGGGCGGGGGCCCGCGCCGAGCGGCGAAACGATGAAGAAGAAGAAGAAGAGGAAGAAGAAGAAGAAGAAGAAGAAGAGGAATAAGAAGATGACGCAGCCGTGCACGTCAGAGGTGCATTGGCAAAAGAGGGTGACACGACAGTATCTACCAAGCGGCGAAGCGATGCATCACAACACCGGCGACCTCTCCCGGTGCGGCGCTCCGCTGCCTCGGGGCCGCCGGCTGGGCGCGTCGAGTGCGGGGGGGCTCGGGGCCCGCTCGCCTCGAGAGCGCTGCGCATGCCTGCGCGCCCTGGCTGCGCCTGTGTGGGCTGCGCCCGATCGGCTTCCTCGAGGTGGCCTGGGAGGGTGCTGCCTGGCGGTCCATGGCACCCCCCCTCCCCCCAACTGCCCCCCTCCCTCCTGTTCCCCACTGGCCACCTTCCCCACTCCCCTGTTAACCCCCTCGCCCCTCCGACTCTCTCCAAGCCCTCCCCTGCGAACGAACCCTCCCTTCGCCTAAACACCCATCCCTCCCTTCTCCCTTCACCCTCCCCCTTCCCAACTCATCCCTCCCCCAGCCCCGATCCACCTGCCGTCCTCGATCTTCATTTCCCCTCCCTCCCCCTCTCCTGCCCACGCAGCCTCTGCCGCCTCGCACCTCCGCCTCCTCACCCCTCTCCGCCTCCTCCTCCGCCTCCGCCTCCTCCGACTTCCTCCCTGCAACAGCCTATCCCCCCCTGTCATAATCATCATGATGCTGCTGTTCCTGCTTGTGCTCTGTGTTCTGCCTGCCCCATGGACCCCTTCCCTCACCGCTCTTCCTGGCCGCAGCGGGCGAGTCCGTGTGCACTCGCCCTGCGCGGGCCACCCACTGCCCACCGTCGACTGCCTCCTCCTCCTGCTGCTGCTCATAGTGCCACTCCGACGCCGAGAGCGCTGGGAGGAGGGGTAAGGCCGCCCGTCCTCCTTGAACTTGACGGTCTTCACCAGCGAGGAGTCGACCATGCAGGACAGCGCTCCTCAGCCCTCCCATAGAAACCCTCCCCCTCCTCCACCTCCTCCGGCTCCCTCAAGCCCTGTCTCCCACCTTCTGCCCTCTCCCCCCCCCCTCCACACACCTCCCTCTCTCCCCTCTCGTCCCTGCTCCCTCTTTCCCCCTCTACCCTTCCTTTCCCTACTTCCTTGGTCCCCTCTCCACCTCCACCCCCCCACTCCGCCCCTGCCCACCCCTCCTCCTGCCTCCTCGCCCGTCCCGCCCCTGTCCGGCCGCAGGACAAGGAAAGCACGGCAGGAAATAGCCCCGCCCATCATCTACTTCCTCACGAGCGGCGAACGTATCCATATCCACGCCCTCACTGGCTGGATTCCGGCGTGCGATCGCGCGGACACGCGGTCACACAAATATGTTCCGGCGGGACATCCGAGAAAAACACAAGGTGTCCGCGGGGTCGCGGCCCAGGGGCCTGGCCCACTAGGCCGTGGACACGGATCTGGTTTTCGCCCACGACTTATCCGCCGATCCCCGCTTGCTGGCCTCCGGGGGGGGAGACCCTAATTAAAGAGACCCCTCTCATTGGATCGATCTCCTCCAAGATGCCTTCAAGATGGCCCCCGAGGCTCCTATGGGTGCCCCAAGACGGCCCCAAGAGGTGCCCAGGAAGCTCCAAGAGGCCCTCAAGAGGCCCCCAAGATGCCCCTAAGAGGCCCCCCCAAATCCCCCCAAAGGCCCCGAGGGCCCCCCGCCCAGAGGCAACAACGACACCCCCAAGACGCCCAAAGAGGTCTTTAAGATGCCTTCGAAAAGGCATCCGAAGAGACTCAAAGAAGCATCCAATAGGCCACTGGCGTTTCTGCTCGCCCTCCTGCTCCTCTTCTTCTTCTTCTTCCTATTCTTCTTCTTCTTATTATTCTTCTTCTTCTTCTTCTTCTTATTATTATTATTCTTCCTTCTCCTCCTCCTCATCAGCATCCTCCTCTTCCTCCTGTTCCGCATCCGCCTATTCCTCCTCCTCCTCCTCCCTCATCCCTCCTCCCCCCTCTCCCTCCTCCTCCTCCTCCTCCTCTCCTCCTCCTCCTCCTCCCTCCTCTCCTTCTCCTCCGATTCCTCCTCCTCCTCCTCCTCCTCCTCCTCCTCCTCCTCCTCTTCCTCCGATTCCTCCTCTATCGTCCCCCGTTTGGGGGTACGACGTCTCACCGAGCCATTTATTCAAATGCTTGCTCCTCCACATCCCTGATCAAGACACCTCGTCTGGGCCTCGTTTCTAAGTGGATTGGCGGGGTTACGCGAAGCGCTTAAGCTTGTTATGCTTATGCAAATGGCACATTTCGGAATCAATGAACCAAAACATGTATCCTTTTGGGGGGAGGGCAACATCTACTTCCTTTTTACCAGCGCTACACCCTCGAACGGTCGACCGGATGTCTTGCGGTGGGCCCACATGAAAACAACCGAAGAACGGCGCAGCCTCCTTCGCTGCACTGAGCGAGCAGGCCGAGGGCCAGAGGAGCGGGCACGGATGCAGAACCCTATGGTCCCGCGCTCGAGCACCCCCTCCTCTGAGGCGATGGCACAACGAGAGCGGCCGCCAGGATACCCTCTACCATCCAGGCGGGCTACCATGAAAAATATCTGAACTAAAATCCTCCAGAGCCCGAGCATCGAGATTCAACAAAAAACTACTGAAGTCTAAAGGTGGGGGCTGGGAGCGGCGGCGGCCAGCAGATAGCATCATGTCTTCTTCGCGCGCTTCTGATCCTTCTGATTGCTGCTTGCGCTGTTCCCGCCGCCTTTGAACAGCAATTTCTCGAGCTCCTTGGCCGTCTTGGACCGTGGAGCGTCGTCGTCCTCTAGAATCATGCTCACGGACTTCAGGCCGCCATTGGCCCTGGGCACGTACATGGCCTGCATCATGCTGGGATGCGCCACAACTGCGAATATCGATTTGACCTCCTCTACTTCCTCTCCGTCGTTGTCCGTCGTGACCGTCACGTCGAAGCATCTCGTCGCTTTGAGACGCACCTCGGGATCCTTGAGGCTCTTCCCGAAGTTCGCCAACGTCGTCAGCGCGGCCTCGGACTCCTGCGGGCGAGGTCCCTGTGCCACCGCGGCCCTGACCTCGTCGTACTTGGTCTCCACTGCCTCGCTCATCCTGAAGAGCAGCATGCGGAGGTAGGCGCCTGGTTTCTTGCCTAACGGGTGGCCGCGGTAATCCGCGGCTGCGACTGCGTCGCGCGCCTCCTTCCCAGGCTTCTGGTAGGTGCTTGGTGCTCGCCGCCAGCGACACTTGCATCTGCGAGCCGACCTTGAGCCTCACCACGACGTTCTGGCCCCTCGCCGACCCGCGGAGGTTGTCTTAGTGTTGGAGCAGCAGCTTCGTCATCTGCTTGTCCTTCCTCGAGATGCCCACGACCTCGGCCTCTCTGCTGGTGTTGCCGGCGTCTTCGACCCCTGCCTCGCCCGCGCCCCTCGTCTTGAGAAGCTCGGCTGCTGGCGTGAACATCGGTCGCCTGCACTCTGGGGGTCGGTGCTGCCTGATCAGGTCTCGAGGCCTGTGGAGGCTGGACCTGGCCCGAAATGTCAGCGGATCGGTGAGATGAGGACATCGTGTAAGCTGAATGCGTCTGATCAAAGTGTCCGTGCGGGTAAAAAGGCCGAGGGGCAATGTGGGCACCTGCGGGCGCTAAGGTCTTCTGGATGAATATTCATACGATTAGCAACGATGGAGTGGACTACAAACCTGTGAGTCTCCAATCCCTTCTGGCCATTGCATGCTCTTCCCAGTTTCATGCGAGAGAACGACCTTGAGCTGTGTCTGAGAGCATGGTAAGCCATTCTAGCCAGTCGCGAGAAACACTCGGCGAATCGGAAGGCGTTCGTTCCTTGTCTTCTGCCGGGATGCGGGTCCATAGCACGCGTAAATCAGAAAGGAGTTACCCTAAACGACATGAATGGTTGAGGCAACTGGGATCCTCAAACGAAGCCTCCCAAAACATAACCGATCGCACTGCAATCGTGGGGTCATATTCGCGTGGGTTCTGGTAGAAGTCCTGGTGCAATGGCATGCCGCCACCATTGGAGCCTACGATGCAGAAGAGTAGAGAAGAACTGACACTGAAGATGTTGGCTCGACGGCGACTGTCGGAGTTCGATACGCGGTACATATAGGCGGGGGATCTCAGAAGATGTCAAAGCTTGCGGGACTGCCATCGCCCCAACTTCTTCGGATCGGCGCGGGTCAGAAAAGCGACCTCCAATGCATCCAGCGCGATAGATCGGACCAGCGAACACCAAAATCGCACCTTCAATCGTGTGCTGAGGTTGTTTCAACACTCTCTGGGCCAGCCGGCCGCGAGCCTTATTCGCGAAGGACAGGCGAGTCTTGACCTCGGAGGAGTAGGAACCGGTGGCGGAGAGCAAGCAGCCGAGGTACTTTCCTGTCGGCGTCGGGTGCCGCGGGCGAGCCCTTTTGTGGGCCCCGGAAACGGCAGGGCCGTTTTTTTCACCGCTTCCAAAAAGAATGTCCCTTGAAAGTGGAAACGGCAAAAAAAAACGGCGACCGGAAACGGCAACACAAACGGCTCCAGGATTGGAACCGGAGCCGGAACCGGTCAAAAAACGGCGACGGAACCGGTAAAAAAACGGCGTTGGAACCGGCAACCGGCAAAAAAACGGCAAAACGGAACCGGTAAAAGAACGGCCCTGTCGTTTCCAGGGCCCACTAAGGGCGAGCCTGCATGTCTGCGTGGGTCATGCTAATGCCAGTCTGCTGTTCCGCTATGTTCTGTCGGATTGTTCGGCACGCCTTCCCCACAACACTCAACATCATTTCAGTTTTCGGGACGGTCATGGTCAAGCCGCTGGCATTCACGTCAGTCCTCAGGAAGTCTAGGAACGAGGTGTCAGCATCTAGTTTGTCGACAACCGTCAGCGCGAATAAATCATCTACGAATTTGATCTGGGACGTGTCTGGATCCTGTAACTCGATATCCGTAAAGTTGGCCGAAGACCTGGAAGTGGGGGTCGTACTGAGCCTGAATGCCCTGGTACCCCGCGGATGTGGTTTGACTTCCGAGCTCCTGGGTAATCATGTCGTAGATAGCTATAAACAATCCTGGACCTTCAACGCTACCTTGTCTAACGCCTTTGCGGATGAGTAGTTGGCGACAGGGGCAATTAGCACGAGCATCACGAAGTACGTAGCATGTGCCATTGTAGAGTTCCTCAGTCAGCAGGCGGGTCTGACGGGAAAGCGCGAGCTGCTCGAGGGCGATCCACACTTGACCCCGATCTAGCAAATCGAAAGCCTTCTCCAAGTCAATCAGCGCAGACACGAGAATAGTGTACGGTGACTGAGATCGGTGCGGGTTAAAGCGAAAGCGTCTGCCGACTTCATCATTTAAAGCAATGGCGTCTCTCGCGGATCGACCCTGGATTGCGCCAACCTGCGTGACAGACAGCTTGCCCGACATCGAGCGCAACTCAGGCATAATTGTAACGTTCGTGAAAGCCTTACCCACGTGGCCGATGAGACTGATTGTTCTGTAATGGTCCTTGGCGTTCATCCCGTCGCCCTTGGGCTGCCTCAGAGAAACCGTTTCGCCATCGTTGAACCTCTGGGGAACTCGTTGGTAAGCTTGGGCAGCCCTAAAAACTCCAAGAAGAGGGTATCCTACGATGTCCGTGCTGAGCTTCCACAGTTCTGCGACAGCTCCTTCGGGGTCCTGGCGAGGGGCTTCGGACGTGACGGGGTCGGTCCACTTGAGGACGGGGGCGCTCTTGTAGTTGGGGAGCTTGTCGAGGGCCCTAGTCACGTCGGTGATGTCATACTGGCCTATGAGGTCCTCATTGGGGGCGTCGTTGATATCTTGGGAGCCTCCGTCCGCATCCATGGGCAACTCGGTTGCCTCGAAGATGGAACACAAAGCATCTGTCCGAACCTGCTGGTCCTCTGAATCATCAAAGCACGGGGCGCCCGTTGCGGGGGTGCGGACCGTCAGCATCGGCATACGGGGCTTTGGCGCGAGCCTCTTGACGATGGAGTAGCATCTACGGATATCGTGAACTGCGTCAGCACGCTCAGCATCTGCGACTAGTGACGCAATGTGCTGACGCTTCTCAGATCGGACAGCTTGCTTCGCCTGCTTGGCCGCTCGGCGAAACTCGGAGAGGATAGATTTGTACAGCCACGATTGGTGATCTGAGTCCTACTCCCGCCGGCTTCCGCCAACTTCCGCGGGCGGAGCCGCTCTCGTTCTGCTTCCATGAGCTTCCGAAGGCCCTTCCGTCACCTTCCGCGGAGGAAGCGACGCCAACTCCTTCGACGCTGGGTGGCAGGGACCTCTCCGGAAGCGCCGCATCTGCCATCCTCTGGAGGCGCCAGGGGTGAGCAGGAAAGGAAGGGAGCGAGCACGGCAGCCCCGGAGCGTAGCCTCCAGCCCTCGCTGTGGCCTTTCTCCAGCCCTCGTCGTCGGCCTTTCCCCTGTGCCTGGGTTATGCATGTGTTTTCTTCTAGAGGCGCACGAAGTAGGAGGAGGAGGAGGAGGAGGAGGAGGAGGAGGAGGAGGAGCGAGGAGGAGGAGAGAGGAGGAGGAGGAGGAGGAGGAGGAGGAGGAGGAGGAGGAGGAGGAGGAGGAGGAGGAGGAGCGAGAGGAGGATGATGATGAGGAGGAGGAGGGGAAGGAGGAACGGGGAGCGAGTGCACCGTCACTGTAGCGCGGCCCCAGGCCCTCGTCGTCGGCCTTTCCCCCCAAACGCTGGGCGCACAAGACCGAGCCTTGTGTTGGGCGTAGGCCGGTAAGCCGACGCCCTGAACCGTGGCAGGCACGCGGGGCCCACGACACCTGCCCTGAACAGTAAATGCCCGGGCCTCAATCCCGTACACGTCGGTCGGAAGAAGTAGGTAAAAACATGAAGTAGGAAGGCGGATTAAGTTGATTGGGTCCAGGCCCCCCCAGAGAATAACAAAACACAGCAAAAGCGTGTCGATTCTTGAAGTAGGAAGGCGCTTGAAATAGATTGGGATCTGGGAATCCAAAAATGGCTACTTTGAATGACCGGCGTGTATGTCGCAAGCCCTATGCCTCGCACCGAGAACTGGACCCATCAACCCTGGGCCCTCAGACGTGAGCCCGCAGTCCTGTGCACTCAACTCGGACCGCGTGCCGAAGGAAGCCATCGACTCCCGTCAGCAGTGATGTGCACGCACGGGAGAAGGCCGACGCGGAGGACTAGCGGCTACGCTCTGGTGCCGCTGCGCTCGGTTCCTTCTTCCCCGTCAGCCCTCTTGCGCTTCTAGAAAAGGGACGCTCTGCATAAACATATATTTTCGTAAGACCGTGCGGATTTCTTAGAGGGCAGAAAATCAACCCCGATAATAATCACCCCGACACGCGAAGCCGTTTAGCCAACGCACCGAAAGAAGGAATCAAACAGGGCAGGGCTGTTTAGTAAACGCCCAAGGCTGTTTAGTAAACGCCAATTGTCCGGTCGGGGTGGTTTTTCCTCCATTGGTTTCTTGAGTCGGCGCTGGACACCCCTGGCGACACCTCCAGCGCCGCCCCTGGCGCGTTCCGCGCGCTAGGGAGGGGGTCCAGTACCGATTCAGAAGGTCTGCGAGGACCTCCGAAAGTCTCAGATTCATGTCTCACAAATATAAGTTGCGTACACACATATATGTACACACGTACACACTCAGATTCATGTCTCTTCGACCTGCTCCCCTGCCACCACTAACCCCGTGTGCTCTTCTGTCCACCCCTCCTCTGTCAGGTGACCCTACCCCCCCCCCTGGGCCGTAGGCGGCGCGAATCTCGGAGAGAGAGTCGCCCAGCACGACGAGGTTCGTAGCCTTGGGCCTCGGCTGGAGGATGTCCTTGGCCCCAGAGGGGCGCGGAGAGACCAGGGAGGGTGAGCAGAACGCCTTTTTGCCGCAGTGGTGTGGGACACAACGCGAACTGGACTTGGCGCTTGCAACAATTCAACGCACTTGTTGTGTTCTTCTGTTTGTTTGTTGTCTCTCTCTCTCTCTACATGTACCGGTGCGCCTTATTGTATTATGTCTCTCTCATTGTCTTCTGTACGGCCAGTCTGCCCGAATGAAGGCTTGAGCTGCCGTGCCCGCTAGACGTCGCCCTTTGGCAAGTCCCGGTCTTCGGATCTCTGAGTCCGTCCTGCGGCAGCTCACTGTGGAGGATGCGACTTTGAGCGACAATGCGACTGCCGCGTCGCGATCGGAACTCCGTATGCCGTCGTCCTTATCCACCTCCTCTGCAGCCAAGCTGCTACCTGAAGGGACGCCTAAAGAAACGCAGCCCCTGCGTGGCCCCCCCAAAACACCTGGGTGCACGAGGAGCGCTAGAGCAGCAACCATGGAAAGAACCCAAGAACAGCGGGTCCCCTGAATTGCCGTTTGCATCAAAGCAGTGGCATTTGGTCCGGAGACGCGGCCGCCCAAAGTTGCACCGGGCTCGGTGCGTCTACAAGAAATTGCAATAAGTTTCTGTCTGGTATCAGACCATTTCAATCCCCCCTCGTCCTTGTCCTCCTCTCCCTCTCCCTCCTCGCTTCCTGCTTCACAATCGTGATGCGATCTGCTTCTCTGCTTCACAATCGGGCGCTCTGTCGTTACGTCTGCGTTTCACAATCGAATGGCCGCGCACGTCCTGCCCGAAACCCCGCTCTGTGGCGGCAGTTGTGCCCAAGCGCCATGCCTAGGGCTGGCGCATGGCTTCTGTACTGTACTTCACGGACAGGGGCAGACATCGAAGAACGGCCGCCCAGGACAAAAGAACGAGCTCCCGATGGAGGAGTACAATCTGGAACCTGCTCCCAGAACAGAGACATAACGTAGACGGACCAACACTTTCTCCGACATTGCACTGCGCCGAACGCAACGGCCGCTTTGTCCATAGACGCATCCAACCCGAAAATCTATATATACGTAACAAGTCCAATGGTACCAATAGACGCTTGTGACTGGAAGGCGACAACGGTATTTGGTATAGGCCCAAGGCGCTGGCCTTCTAGAAGCAGGCAGACCTTGCCCTCAAACCCCGATGGCCGTCCATCGACCGAGGCACCCGGTGGCCGAGAAAGCCCCAGGAGCGCAGGCGCGCCGCCCGGAGCCGCAGCGCGCCACGCGGACGAGGTGGCGCCTCTGCTGCCCGGGCCGCTGCGGGGATGGAGGGGAGGCGGTGCTGGTGTGAAGATCGGATGGGGTGACTTGCAAGCCGGGGCCGACCTCGGGTGGTGAGGCTTCGGGTTGCGCAGGGGCCGTCCCGCCCTGGGCAGTCCCAGCTGGCCCGAACAGGCCGCCCGAGCAGTCCCAGCTGGCCTCAGACCCCCCGAGTAGTCCGGGGCGGCCTCGACACCACAACGCCGGCCCTGGCAGCGCCCCTGAGGCCAGTCTGTGCGCAACCCGACGCCTCACCAACCTTGAATGAGGAGGAGGAGGAGGAGGAAGAGGAGGAGGAGGAGTAGGAGGAGGGAAGAAGGGAGGAGGGAGGAGGAGGAGGAGGAGGCTCTGAGAATTAGCGGGTCGCGGGGATGCGTCGGGGCTCCAGGATGCCCTCAGAGCGTTGCGGAGCGCTCTGGAGGATGCATCCTCATCCCAAACTCTGGCGAAGATCTCCCCTCTGGGGGGCGTCCAGCTTCCACCAGCGAGGCTTTGTGAGGAGAGCGGAAGAGCACACGGCCGAGTCTGCGTGCGGGGCAAACAGGGGAAGCCACGCGCCAGATGCGTATGCGGAGGGCTGGCGTGTCCAGCAACACGAGTGCCCAGCGCTGGAAAGACACTCGGCCGCATGCGTATCCAGCTCTGGCCCAAGCAAGCCTCGTCGTCTGCCTGCAAATTCCTGCTGCTGACGCCCCGTTGCCACTGCACCGCGTTCCCGATACTTGAATGCCAGTTCCAACCCTACGTGGCGCCAGCTGCCAATTGCTGCGCAATAGTTGATGGTGCACGGCCTGGCATTTTGGAACCAGTGGTGCCTGCGCTGCCGTTCTCGTCATCATCGCCGTCGTCGTCGTCGTCGTCTGCGTCGTCTTTGTCGTCGTCGTTGTCGGTGTCGTCGTCGTCGCCCTCCTCCTCCTCCTCCTCCTGCATCCCTTTTCGTCTCAACTAACTCCCACTAACACCCTCCCCGTCACACCTCCAGACGTGTCGGCGGGTGCGGGCCCAGCGTGTCGCCTCATACCTACTCACCACTTGTGGTCCTGAAACATACAATGTACAGACGCTTCAAGGATGGAGGGCGGGTCGCTTTCACAATGAAGCTCTCGCTCTGGTGCCGCGCACATGTGTATTCACAGTCCAAACAAACTTCTGGGCGTATGTGGTCTAGGCCACAAGCCCTCTTCCCTTCGGGGAACAGTGTCTTGGCCATGATACCCCACGACACTCACAGAGCGAACGGGGGATGGACGCCGCAAATGGGGGCCCTGACGGCGGCGCAAGTCTGATACATGTGATCCGACCCCTGCCGCGCAGGCAGAGTGACGCTAAAACCCCTGATGCCACAAGGCTGAGGTGCCCCAGCAGTTCAGAACCCAGGAGGCACAGACAACCATGGGCGGGGTTCGCAAAACGATCGGTGCCAGGGATACTCTGTGTTGAAGACGCCCCCCCCCATTCCCAACGCGCAGAAGCATTTGCACCATGGGTCCGAAACGGCGCAATTACCCTTGGGGGCCTCGCAACCACAGGAGCCGCCCAGCACGAAACATCTGAATCTGCTTGAGTTCGATGGTGGTGCAGCCAGCCAACGGGTCTGCGGGGTGCCTGCCATTCGTGTAGCTGTCACACCTAATGCAAAACAGAACGCCTTGGCCCGTGGCCTGGACCCTGGCCACCATGACGAGTGGGGCGGGGAAGGGGCCAAAAGGGAACGACACAGGGAGCGGAAAAGGGCGACAAGGGGCCCACAGCCCGAATCCTCGGCAACACTCTGGCTCACGAACTTTTTGGCGCACGCGAAACACTGCCAGCGGGACCTATACACCTGAGATCGTGGGCTGGGCAAACGAACCAGCTTGGGCCTCGACGCGCCCTGGGAGCCTTCCCTATAGCTCGCCAAACAACTTGCGGGCCTGAGACCAGAGCGGCAAAATCTGAGCAACGGTCCCTCTTTTTGCGGAGACTGATTCTAGCGAAACTCTGGACCCGTCGTGGCCAGAGGCTTCGGGAGCCTGAAGGCATGCCTTAAAACTCCTTCTCCCCCAGGGTTGGGGGGGTGGGAGACCGACAAACAACTTGAGAATGAACGGCAGCAGGGAAGAGAAGCGACTGGACGGTTCCTGCTGTCTCAGTGCGGACAAGGGAAGCCGAGAACATCATCAAGACGGCCCCTCTGCCCAACCCGTTCTAAAACATCCAGCGCAACGGTCCCTCTTTTTGCGGAGACTGATTCTAGCGAAACTCTGGACTCGTCGTGGCCAGAGGCTTCGGGAGTCTAAAGGCATGCCTTAAAACTCCTTCCCCAAAATCACACCGAAAGAATCCAATTAGGATGTTCACTTGGGCGGGAAGAAACAAGGTGGGTGAAGCCAGCTCTAGTTTCAACGATGCTGGCCAGCAAAGTCGAGACCATGGCCTTCGCCATATCTCTGGGGCAGTCAGAAGCGATACGTGTGCGACGGAGGCCACCTGGCCCCCCGCCGCTCAGCTGCCAGTGGGGGCGTAGGGCCTTCGAACATGTACAGCCCTGTGGTCTACATCGCTGGGTGAGTTTAGTCATCTTCAAGGTTCACATTGCCACGCAAAATCCTAATAGCCTTCTTCCATTTAGCGCCGTATTGGCACTGGCCGAGCACGACTTAACAAAGACATTCTTACAATGGGAGAGCTCGCACATTTCTGCAGTGTGCCAGAGTCGGCTGGTCAGCGGATGCTCGAGCATGACAGGAATGCCTCGCCGTAGAAAAAAATATGAACAGGGACAGAGCGACTCGAGCAAGACGGTTGCTGGGGTGCACAGCTGCCGCATCGGCAGCAGTCAAAAAAGACTCGTTGAAACCCCGGGGCTGATCGCGACTTCGCGCAGGCCGAGATCTGTCATGCCCAACTGAGAAGGTCTGGCACGGCGGGGCCAGCACTGCAGCCACCAGTCGCCCAACTCGGGCGTCTGATCTGATGGCTTGCAAGACTTTTGGCGACAGCAAGTCCTGTCACTCTGCATCATAGATGACGCCCCAGCTTCGCGAGCGGAACCGTAAACTGTCGGCCGCGCGCGAGATTGCCCTGCAGCCTGCAAAAAGATCGGCGAGGTACTGTCCTTTCCCTAGGCGAGAACGATAGAGCCGACCCCTTGATCGTGCCCCTCTGTAGCCGAGGTGCAACTGGGTTAGTTTTGCGCTAGACGCACGCTGAAGGGCTGTCCCGTCAAGATCTGGGTCAACTGCCTCTCCGCCTGCTCGCGCACTGCACGCAGAGCTGGGGCCAACTTCGCGTGGCTGCTTTCTAGCCTGCTGCTGTGCTCGTAGCGGTGCATGGACTTGGCCTGGGCGCACTCGCCTTGCCTCTGAGCCGAGGTGAGAGTGCGCCACCCTTTGGCCAGGTCGATGCTGGCTCCCGAGTGCCTCATCTGATACAGAGTGACGGGAGCGACTCCGAGATCCTCCGCCGCCTCTCCGAGCAGGGCAGACGCCTCGGGGTAGTCGAAATTCCACAGCGGCTCCTTCGAAGCTGCCGAGCCCAGTCGTTTGAACACTGCATCCAAGCCCTGGAGGCACGGAGAGTCCAGCGGGCATCCCTCGTCGAAGTGGCCCCTCTTGCTGGGCTTCCTCCGCTCCCGAGGATGAGTCAGCAAGGCCCAGTGGCGGCTGGCGCCCGTCGTCGGGGGGGCCAGGTCGCACCTCCGCGCGGCCAGCAAGGTC